TTGATTATAAATTAATCAATTTACATTGATATAAATAATTATATATTTTCATTCATTTTTCCATTTATTTTCTGATTTGTATTTAATTTGATTTGTTGTCCCATGTAATCAAATACTCTCCATCATCACTCATGCTTCCAAAGAAAGAATTCGTTTCGAAATTAATTGACTATTCAGTAACAAATTCTCCATTCGACTTTTTCCTTATCAGATTAATAAATTCCCCATTTTTAAAAACAAGGATTTGTTTTTAATCAATAAATTATGAAGGGAAAAAACATTAGCCATCTAATCCACATTTAACACTAATATCTTAAGTCTATATAAATTATTTATTGATATCATTCATCTCAAAAACCTATAACTTTTCAGTATTATATGGCGAGAATACAAAGGTATTATCATCAATAAAGCATATGCGATATCCATCCTACTCAATTGTTAGCTTTTAAACTGTTATCCATTCTTTATTTAATTCTGATTATTCTCTTATTAAAATAAACTTATCAAAACCACAAGATATCAACCGATTTTATTATGAATTTAAGCTTAATCCATATACAGATTTTGAATGATCCTTAATAGTTTATTAACATAACCATTCATTTTTCTTTGCCCAAATTTTGATTGCTTTGTCATCACTCCCTGATATAATTTGATCTTCATTATTATTTATTACTAAACAATTGATTTAATGACTATGTCCGTTTAGTATCTATTATTTACTCCATAAATTTTGTTATATTTTTTGCCATATAATAATAGTACCATCTCTGCTCCCTGATATAAAATGATTAGATTTCTTCATAAAGTTTAAAGTAAATACGGAACTCTTGTGTTCATTTAAGCTCTATAGATGTTTAAGGATACCATACCTGAATTCAAATAATTTAATTTATGATCTACACCCAGCCACTAATGTGGAGGAACTTTTATTAAGAGCTATTGCAAAGCAAATCTCATTTTATTAAAATGAATAATCTTGTATTAATTAATAGCAGTATGGTTTCATCTTTTATAGATAAGAAGATTAAAGTATGCTTGATTGTATACTAATAATGTTTGCATCAATATTTTCAACTAATGTTTATGAGCCCTTATCCTAGTCTTAAAGTTTAGGTTCCATTGACATCGAAATATTACTTTTTTCATTTTCACATTCTTAAACCATGCCTTCAGTTACTTCTTTGATTTGTAAATTGGTTTATTGTTCATTTTATGATAATTAATCCTACAATTCTTTCTTTTTCATATAATTTGTGATTAATGGTTGCATAACTTGATAAAGTTATTCGACAAAGTTTAAATTTTCAAATTTATGGCAAGGAAAATTATCAGAATATTCAGAAATTAATGTTTGAAGAGAATTTTGTTAATTATCATCGATAGCATAAGAAGTACTCTTAAGAATTTAATCTAGTTAAGCATCGATATTGTCAAATATAGACTAATTGATTTATTAATGAACAATATTACTTCAACCTAATTTTATACTTATTGCAAGCATTCTTCCATTTTTTTAAGGTAGTAATCTTTTATATGTTCATCTTGTTAATACATTTGGTAATCTGTAGAATAAATTTATTTATATTGAAATTATCCCCTCAAATTCCATTTTTAATAAAAAAAGAATGTATTGAATATCTTCTCACTTTCAAAAAAATAGCAGATTTTGAGAGAAAGGATGAGACAAGAATAACTACAGGAATTTAATTCAATAAGGGTTGTTTAGTTTATAGGTTTCAGTTACCAATAGCTAATATTTAAAGTTAACAGATAACTAAAAGGAACAAATCATTAGCTAATCTATTGTTATATGAAGATCAAATCAACTTAAAAATAAGCAATTTACAAACTTGATTTATAGCGACACTTTTTAATTGAACTAACTAACTCTAGATATAAGAATAAATAGCAATATTTTTTGGATAATCCATTAATGCTAACTAATAATATAAAATTTTTAACCGAGAATTATTATGTTCTAACTTTGAATGAAAAAAAATTTAAATATAATAAATTGACTCTAATAGAAAGAAGATCTTAATCGTGAAATAATTCATATCTTTAGATTTTAAAGAGCTGTCATATAGGAGACCCCTAAATAATATACATCTAAACCTTAAAATGTATCAGCTAAGTAATTTTATTAATGTAATGCCTGTTAACGCAATATAACTAACTATTGAAAGGATTCTTAGTTATCTACCTCTTTTTCCTTAGAGGAAATATAATAATATGTGGAATTTTTTATTCTTTAAATTTCATTGCTTAATAGAAGTTTTTATTAAATATTTGCAATTTCTTGTTGATGACTGTTTTAGCTACTGTTTTTCAGTTAAAAGTTATTGATTCTAGCCCAAGGATTTCATCGAAATGCTTAACCGTTTGAAAATAAACAGAATAATCTATAATCATTGATATTTAAGAAAAAGGAACTTCAGCCTTTTCTTTATTGACCTTATTGTGGATATAAAAATGAGCATTATTTTTGATGAATTGAAGAATGGCATAGATTGCCGAAAATAAGGTCAGTCATTAATTTGAATAATCTTGAAATTGATTTTGATTAACCTAATATATTCTATTGTTTAAATATACTTGCATATTTCAAAATTGTGGGTTCTGTATCATATCTTAATTAGTTTAAATTTCGTTCTTCCTACTGAAATATAAATGTTATTGAAATCTTCAAATTATGAACTGAATTTGGGTTTGTTGGCTGATCTTCTGTAATTATAATTTCAAAAGATAGTAATGAATTCCATTTTAAAGCAAAATTTTTTGAGGGCGCAAAATTCATAAATATAAGATATGAATTCTATAAAAAAGGTTTTAATAATCATAAATAGTTGAAATTTAGAAGGACTTTTAATTTAATCTAATCTCATTTTATAATAAGTTTATACATATAATTTAAATATATAAACTTT